TAATGTACAGCTAAAAGGGATATGCCCCGCAATCCGTGGTAAAGTCCAGATTGATAGTAAAGAAACTTATGTTACGTGTTTAGTGGAATTGGAAAGAAATCATGCATTATGACTTGCTCATGCTCAGCAAGAGGCTATCCGGACTCCTGCTACCAATAACTAACAACATTATAACAAGCCATTGAAAAAAGAAGTACAGAACAAAAAAGCGACGTCTTCCACCGTGCCAACACCAAACCACATGTACCTTTAGCTAGCGGGCAAAAAAATGAGAGAAAACCTTTACCCACCCGCCATATAACCCGGATTCTGCTTCGGTCTTTGTAGAATTCCCTTAATTTCAGTGAGTGGATTCAATAATTTGTCACGATTTTTCACCCCAAAACCACACAAAAAGGTTACGATGATGGAATCATGCTGTTACCGGAAAATATGGCAGAAAGTCACCAGTAAAAAAAATAGCGCATATTTCATGATAATTATTATAAATTATTAAATATATTATAAATAATTATACTGTGAAACATAAAAGAATTTTTTTTCATTTTGCCTGCGGGCTGGTCGGAATAAATACTTTTTGAGCGATCATGGGCAACGCTAACGTTATCATTGCGAGAGAAGTCGAGGGTCGATGGTTACTCGGCTCCGACATTAAGGACACCAATCTTATGATACGAACAGCAGCAACGGTAGAGAGATGAATGGTGTATTCCCATATTATTAATTCATCATCTGGCATATAAGTAAAAGGATTCAAGGCAAACACTTGTTATACTGTTATGGTTTCTGTAGAAGATGTAGTTTTCTATCTAAGTACAGATTTACGCCTGATAAAAGTATTATAGTAACTTATCGGTGCTGCTAAAGAGTACAGGATCAACTTATCTTCAGTGCGAGAATCATCTTGTAGCGATCTAAATGATCGTATGAGTGTATCGCAAATCGAATGTTTTACGTTGACAACTCTTCTCTCGATATCAGCAATGGTCCCCCATTCCGTAATTGTGAGTGTTCAACAAAGATTTATTTTATATAATCAAAGCTAAATTTGCGCCCGTGCTACCAGTGCTACGCCCGTGATACGAGCACAAGCGAGCCTACAGCGTTGCATACTCATTTAGATTTTCGTCTATGTTGTTTATTCTTATGCACTCAATTGGGCCAGTAAGTTCTCTTGGCAATCTGATAACTTGTACAACATTTCTGCTAGAAGTTCCAATATTGTTATTTTCGTTATCGCCTACTACACTTGTACAAGGCAACATAGCGACCGCCCCACGGAGCGAGGCACGATAGAAGGGGCTACCGTCACATTGCTAAGATGACAGTTAAATCATATGGACAAGACATAGACCGATTTTTAGCAACGTGGGAAACGGGTTAAGCATCCTCCGTAGTCGGGACTGCCGCTTTTAGACAAAACCGGCTTCCGCTATCCGTCCAATTCTATATCTCTATTTCTCGGCGTCTCGATCTTACCATTATACAGCTTTTGAAAGTGTCTATTTCACGCCTGAACAGATTTTCTGTAGCGAGGAAGCCTGCTGTGGTATTGCTGCTTGCGAAGTCCTAGTGGTCTATCAAGGTCTAGACCGTCACTCTGTCCAGTTCGTCTCTGGCTACACGAATTACCGCTGGTGTTTCGGCCACTGCTGCCGTTACTTCTACGTTGGACAAAGTTCAGTTCTTTCGTCTTTAAGCCTCCAGTCGGGGGCGGCGGTGGGGCGCACACGTCCGGACCGGAAGCAGGAGTTCACAGCCGACCGCTCGTTGTCAACCAACAAGTTCTTGAAGTCTCCTAACTGACTGACTGACTGTCTTCACGGTAAGGAAATTGTACGTATATGTCTGCGTGTGTGTATATATACGCGCGTGTGTCTGACTGCGTATTTGAGCCTTCAAGGCAATGATTGTGGGTGTCTGAGAACGACCATTGCCCTTTTTTTTCTAGTAGTCTGTTCGACAGCCCCCGTTCGCTGCGAGTCTCAATCACTGACGGAGAGAACACATGGGCTGATTACCGTTAGTGGTCTGTCGTGAAAATTGTTAAAGCGGTTCGTTTTAGCATTCGGCAATTACAGAGCTCCGGAGTCGGAGCTAAGGAAATCGAGCGAGCTACTGCTATATACTATCACCAACGGTTAAGAGCGAAACTATGCAATTGCAACAGTTTTCTGACTCATTTGAAGGAACCCTTCGCTCTAGTCCTGCATTCTCTTTTCCTTGCACTCATTACGACGAATTGACACAACAGAAAACTGAGCTTCGCACTCAACCTGGAAACCTTGAAACGATGATGAAAGACTGAAACGATAGCGGTGGTGGTTGTCCGACGCTTGCGCTCTTTTTTTGGAGAGAGCGAAATGTCCACGATCTGACAAATAACCCGCCATATCATTCGGCCTACGGCTGAATCGCTAGACCAAGCGTTTATGACGGATTGACATGACGTGGGAAGGCACCCAAACCGGTTTTGCTGCCAGAATTCGGACATCTCGGTTTGATCAGTTTCTGTCATTGGCTGAGGTTCACCGAACCGAAGAAGCCAGCGTGCAGCAGTTGATGGCGATGTTATTCATCTCGTCGCTATTGCCATCACCAACTGTGAGCGAGGGGCTCGAAGATGAATGACAACTTATGCAGGGTTGGCCTACCAGGGAGATGAGACTGGGAATAAGTAAACAAAGCGAGAAAGCAGTACACATTGAAATGAATGTAATTGTATTCTTGTCTACAGCATGAGTTAGGATATCCTTGGAGTGTACAACAATGAGGCCAGCAGTCGTGGAACCGAACTGCGGCAAAAGGAATAATTTTATTGAGGTGTAATGGCCAGATAATCCGACTTGTATGTATAATTCCAAATTCTTAGAGGTTTTATTCCATCGCTGTTTTCCAGAAATGTATTTTTCAATTTTTTCAGAAATGTACGCGTGTAGATGGCCCGGACGCGATGTATTATACAATGTTTTAAGCATCGTAATAGATTAAATTTTCGGCCAACAGCAGGCCAAATTTTCCGAAAATACCAGGGCTCAAAATAGCCAAAGAAAACAAGCTGGAGAAAGCTGATCTGGACGATTCAAGTGATACCTAACATTCTCTTACATAAAACACCCGTTAGTTTTTGTATTGAAAATCCAGGTATATTAAAAATGTTATTTTTTTGAGCCGTTTTAATCAATTTTCCTATTTACATTCTATTGAGGACCTTTTTTGAATTTTTCGGAAGATGCATGAAAACTGGCAGTAACATAGTCCCAAAAAAGGTAGCGCTTAATCTTGGCGGAGCTTCATCCAGCGCGAATAGATTGGATCATAGCTGATCTTACTCGAATTCCGAAAACGGGGAGATGCGACAAAATTGTTGTGTTGTTCCAAAAAAATTCGAGATCGTCTAATGGCAGAAGTAGCGGATGAATGCATATCCTTTGCTAGAAACAACCCCCCATAGTTTTCTTTGTATATATACATTACATATACAGAGCAAATTCAGACACACACTCTGGCAGGCAGGCAGGCAGGCAGGCAGGCGCTTGCGATCCTTGGTCCCAGAGGAAAAGTTTTTTTTTTAAACCAGGAAACACATCGTGACAAAAATCAGTGCGTGGTTTCTGAAATTCAAGCGAAGCTCAGCTTTTATCCGCTGTGTTCAAGAGGGGCGAACCCTTACTAACATAACGAATTTTGTTTTTTGTCAAAAATCAACACTTTACGTTATGCCAGATCCGATTTTTGGATAATCCAGCTAAGATTCCCAGGGGCTTATTCAAATAATTTTTTGATGGTTAGTATTTTCGTCACTTGAGGCGCTTTTTGCATTTTTTGTACTTTTTGAGCCATTGCATTTTTGGAACATCTGGCCTGTCGTTAGCCCAAATTTGGAATCGGCTAGAATGTTTATTAGAAGGTTATTTGCGGATTAATAAAAGAATACTTTAAAAAAGGTTTAGGTCCTGAGTTAAAAAAAGTTCCTAAATTGAAGACATCATGGTAAGCGATAGTTATACTGCACAAACGTAGCCCTTAAGAATGAATCTTGTAGCGCCCGCAAAAGTTTCCATCAATTTGTCTAAGTAAAATTTTGAATATAATTTACGGAAAAAAAATTCAGATATATTTGCGTCACTCGGAATAGGCAATATGAGTTCTTAATTGTATATTATACCAATACGAGCACGAGACGTATGGCCTTCTTTTATCGGCTGAGAGAGGTAAATTTTGAGGTAGTTGAAACGAATTGTATTGCAGCACGCTTTATTAGAGTAAGTTCTTAGACCTTAAATAGATTCTATGTCTATCTCTCTTAAACTCTTGTTTGCGTACCGAAACCGAGCATCTTTGTTTGCAAGTCAAGTATAATACGAAAAACGTAAGCACCAATGAAAGTATGTCGTCCTAAAAATTTGCTTTCGCTTTTAACTGCCGAACGAAATATAGTGAGAATGGGGCCGAAAATTGTCAGGTAATAACCCAGTCGGTCATCAGAAGTTGGTAATGGTACGACTTTAATAAAAACGGCACACAACACCTGATATCGCTTAATCGACCGCGTAACAAGCGGTTTTTACATTAAACACACAAAACTACTATGACATCTAACGACTCCTTGTCAAATTCATATGCTACACCCCATTCCTTACACAGCCAGTGGTAGTATCTTGGCTAGCGTAGGTTTTATGTAAGTCAAGCTGGACACTTACTTAACTAGCTTAGGGTCTAGCTTCAATTAACGGAAAATGACAGTCGGGTATAGCTTTGCATCCTCCTATTACTTCCGTTCAAGGAGCATTCCATAGATCTTTATCAAAATATTGCTCCATTCCGCCGATTTCTCCTTGCGCTTTCTAGTTTTGACCACCATATACTAAATCGGTCTTAACGTAGAAGTCATTATACAACCATTTACCATGTAACATATCCGTAAGACGGGTTACAACTTCTAACCATCGGGCAGATAGACCCACCGTCTGAATACTTCCTCAGAATAGTATCCTTACCGTTAGAGTGGATCGAGCACTGGGTTCGGCATTGGCTCATAGAGGCTGCGTTGGCTGTCCACCTTGGTCTCTCCATATAAAACTGACACTCGGTTGGCTCATTACATGGACGAACATTGACGATAGCCTTAAAACATGTCAGAAGCGTTGTTAATTTCCAGTTGGAGCCTTGATACATGTACGCCTACGGTCGAATACATAGTGAGATAGTCATTGCCCATAGCTAAGGAGTAAACATACATGGTACATGGGCATAAACGACGACATTTTCTTGCGGTAGATGTTATGGCACAGCACATCTTTAACATCACACGTTCACGAGTGCACGAAACTATTCACAAACTCTATGAAAACTTACCCTGACCTTTTGATTGTAGACTTCTAGTCGTTCCTCGTGCCCCTGAGGCAACACTTGAGGAACCAAGGCAAAAGTATCCCTTCCGAAAACTATAAACGCAAATAGCTTTAAGCACGGCCTCGAGTACACGCTTTCTTGGTGAAGATAGGGACACCACATCTGGTTATTGTTATCATTTTTATATCATTGTGGCAATCTATGCACCGTGGGAGAAGATCTCCAGGAAAGAACGTCAAGGCTGGCCACGAATCTCTCATGGAGAAACGAGTCTCGATGCGGTAGGCTGAACCACAGAAGATGTATAGCGCCACGGAAGATATATGTTGCCGTTTTGAGTGCGACTGGTATACAGTACTTGAATAGCGGGTGATGGTAAAATACCAGCATGTACCGCTAGTGGCGACATCTGACGACGGCATTTTCTTGTTTCGTTCATGTCGGTACAATGGTTTGACTGTACTAAGTAAACGGGCGTACGAGTACGGTCGTTTGCTCGGTGGAAGCTTGTGCTTTAGGTAGACAGGCAAGCAGAGCCTTTTTGGAACCCCCACTCCCGCCGTGTTGCTTCACTCTGGAGTGTCGCATTGGCAAGTACACCGACTTCCAACCGATTTAGCCATCGGCAACGGTTAGCCCTTTATCCCGCCTCCGTCCCTAAAACCCCCATTTTCATCTCATCCTAAGACCTTATCACTTGCTGGCGAAAATTTGTAGTTAACATCCCCTTCCATACGGAATTCCCCTTTCAGCTACACGCTTTGTTCAACCTCGTTGCTTGTATCGGCAGCTGTTTGTTTAGCCAGTTAGTGAACCAGTGAACGCCATCTGCCATAGAAGCTTTCTTGTCACGTCGGTTTTTCCTGTTTGAGCCCTCTATCGCGGGTTTTTGCCGCTTTCTCTGTGTTCGAGGCGTTCCAAGGTATATGAGAGAGTAGTCAGCAGCAATGCAAGTCATTTGTTGTCCCTGTTTTTTCAGTTTTCCGGCGAAAGTAGAACCGGATGAAGGCAAAATTGTCCTTGTGATCTTTCTATTCTCGATTTAGCTGGACCGAATGGATCGATATGTATGAAAAAAAAAAAAAAGCTTCATTTGAAATAGAATTTCCAGTGTTAGTAGAAACGTTTGCTACTGTACGGATAGAAAGCTACGTAAAAGAACATGTACCTTGCTCGCTGGTTCTAGCATTATAAACATCCACGTTTTTAAGCATTCTTATATCGACGACCTGGCAAAACAAGTCAAAATTCCGTTGTCACTGATCCAAAAAAATCACTTTTAGAAAAGGCATCCGTTGTTCGTTTAATAATATTCGATTTGTATAATACCTGTCGCGTCCACGTAACATGGTCTAATTATTAGACTTGGGTGTGAGTAATACATTCATAATAGTTGACTTCGTTAGCTTATACTATCAAGTGCAAATATATGGTTCTTGACGATTTTTCTAGGAAATGATCAACGGCGAAGGTCTAAGGCGTTGCAGTGATAGCGTTGCCGCGTGTTTCGTGGTTACACTTATCGCGAACCTTTTTCACTGTCCTTCGCAGATGTGTTTAAGTCATTGTGCTGAACCAAACGATCGTCTCAGTCCCCGCACCTCTTGGAAGACGGAAATGGGATACCCTATTGTTTTAGCAGAGCAGGCTTATTCTGTGGCAGGGTACTGACCTGCCTAGCAGGCCATGAGTGGTTTTTCCGTTGCTCTCATTTTGACTAGGCACCTTTGCGCGCCCATGTGGAAATGATCACTTAACATGTTAGGGGCACGCTACGGTGGTGTGCCGCACTGCGTTAATGATCACGAGGTCCTTTTATTGCCGAGCCGAGGGCAAGGCTCCGTCTCCGCAGCCTTGCGACGAAACAACGAAAATTAATAGCTTCGTGTTCTATTGTTTTATCGATTTTATTTTTTTAATATGAGCTGTTGCCCATAAATTGATTTGAGGGGGAGATTAAGGCATTTATCAAAGAGGTGGCATTGTCGGATCAAGCGATACTTTTAGACAGGGGACGGTTCAGAAATGCGAAACCGAAACTGCTACTGACATTAACTACTACATTAACTTATTCAAGATAAGTCTTGGACCTGGTTTTGGGTATTGTTCTTTTTCAGCTTTCTGCTAGAGTACCCGTAGTTGTTTTAGTAGCAACAGAAGGAGAAAGTAATGAATCATAAATAGTTCGTAAATTGTACGCTTCTATGTATGTTGATAAAATGTTCTATCTATATGTTGATCCATTTCGTCAAATATAGTTTTTGACGTAATTATATCAAATAAACAATTGCAACGAATCTTCTACTGAACCATTAAAGCGTACACAGGCAATCAAACGCTTAGAAGGTCAGACTCTTCTGTCAGGCTCTCAAAATTACGACTTTCGTGATGTCTTGTAGAGTTTAAAAAAAAGCTATCTGGTCGCACACATAACAGAGAACTTTGCAATAAACACATTAAATTTAATGGAATGATACGAGAGTCGAAAAATGTGTACTTGTTCGGCACCCCACGTGGACTTACAACCTTCACGTAGGGACTTCACGTAGGGTATTTGGTGTATCATGCGGACCTCGAGGTAGACTGTCGTATTTAGAAATTTAAGAACGTATATATATGGGGCTGCCGAAAAGGCATTGGTCGTTTCTAAGCTAAAATTGAAGCAAACATTTTTATTCACTGAAAATATATAATCAAACTAAATTTACGCTGTTCTGATCGATAATCGTTTGCCAGTTTCGGTAACATTATAATCCTATCACTGTAGAACTTCTGGACGAAAAAGGGTAGCAGATGCTTTTTGTATCCTCGATTGAAACTTAAAGAAAAAAAAAGAGTTCTGCACAGATTGAAACAGATGATCGTGATAGCAGGATGGCGGACGTATTCATATTTCCCGTCGTCATATTTTGGCCGTGTAGCCACAGTTATTTGTAGTCTGGTGTTTTTACGGTGGAAAACGTCGTCTTTCCGATCCATTGGTTTCGATTGACTTGTTCAATGGCTTATTGTCGTCTTAATAGTTCTTGACGGTAGAGGTCCTGAGCAGTCGTTTTGCCTGACGACAGCAACTGATCATGCGCGGTTCCTTTCCAGATCTACAAAACATATCGCATCACCCTTTCTGGCGTTAGTTTATGTTTTGTCACAGATTGTGGAAAGTATCTTTTTTATTTGTACATTACTGTCGTATATGATCCACCTTTTATCATCTGTAATTAATCGCCCTAGAAATGGCTTGATTTTATATTTTTATGCTTTTGTAGACTTTTACTAATGGAAATATCGTCAAAATGATTCTTCTGTGTCCATCTGTGTAGGGCCGAAACATCGCGCTTCCTTCTAGCCAACTTTTTCAGATGTCTCTTTTTAACTTGTTTGATAGTGCATATTTAGTTGGAGATATTGTAGGTACTCACGGGTCGGTCTTGCTCAACTTTCGCAATAATTTTTTAAGAATTCACCCCTAACTTATTGACTACTACAAGGAGCAACTTTCGCATCGAAATATCCCTGGCCCACTTCCTCTGATAACTCATCTTGACCATAGCCAGCGCAAATGTTTTTGTGGGCTTCGACAGCACCTCTGCTTTTATTGTAATAAAGTCATAAAGCATAGCAAATTTTCGCCGCAATTTCATCCTTCTTCAAGGCTTTCTATCCGAAGTCGAAATCTAACAACTCTAACACATCTACTGCCGCTGATTTCAGCTTTCAGAATTAGCGGCAGTTCGACGCAACTCATATCACTTCGAATTAAAACTTTTCCCATATGTATATAGGCTACAAGAGAGAATTCAATATAAATAGCAACAATGGAAACATATTTTTCGTTGGTTTCTATAAGAAGCCACATGCTGATCATTGTCATCTGTATACATTTACTGTATATGAATAAATATTGATCTTCACTCTGAAGTTCGCTGTAAACTGAGCTTTTCTAAAACTGTGAGCCTATTTCTTTGACCTCATCGTTTTGTGTCTAAACTACTATCGCTATATGTAAAAGCCAGCGCGGCATGGCTTAGTAGAGAAGACACTTACCTAATAATTTTTACATAAATAAAAATTATCTTATGACATATTGTACGGAACTTTAGGCCATACAGAATGTCCTATCTCGTACGACATCGGATTGGTTACAATGGGAATTCGAAGTGCAGTGAATTATACCAGGGATAGCGGCTTTTAGAAGCTCTATAAACCTATCGTTGAAGCGTTAATTGATTTACAACTTTTAATTACAGCTGAAGTCCTAGTAGATGTCCCAAGAGAAGAAAGCGAACATGGACTACTTGACAAATTTAGCCTCTTCGAATTTGCGGAACCACTATTCACAGCAGAAAATAAATAATGCCTTTATTATATATTCATTCTACATAAAGAGCCTTGTTTTTGTAGTGTCCTAAATACAGGTAACAATTTACTTACATCTTTGCCTTGAGTAACAGCAACTGGTCGTACTACGCGTCGATACCAAAAAATCGTAAATGAGGAAACGGTAATTCATTTCGTAGAACGAAATCGCGACAAGATGATCATTGTCATAATGCGGCGATCGTATCAACGGAAAGCTAGACAATTTTTCAACGTTTGGTTATTATCCAATACTTGTGGCGTCAATCGTTCTCCAATTATGCTGTCAGAGAACTAACAACCGCAGAAAGCTACATTTGTTTGAGTTGACCCTCCATTATTAGTAGAGATCGACCTCCTTTGTAATTTCCCTAGGAAAAAAAAGATTATGGAAATGGTCTAGCAAAGATTAGTTCCAACGTTCATCATAGTAGTCACACTGAGTACCGGTCTGCCTATTTAACGTCTCGTGACTGAAATCTAGGATATTAACGACGGGTAGCAAAAATCAGATTTTTGCAAAAGCAAACCACGAGATCTGGTAGCTTATTGTATTTGGCTCAACATTTTCGTCTAAACATCTAGCTCGTCAACCATCTCAATATTAATTGAATCGGAAAGTGTATTCATGTTCCTCCGATTAATAGAAAAACAATACTGCGCAGGTGAAGGACTGCCATCCCAGGCCTAGGATCCTGTCGCGGATTCAGCTTAAAGTTATAAATGTCCACGGCGGGTAAACATAAGCAGAACATCTTAGCAATTGAAAAAACAGAGACATATAACGAATTCTACTTACCCAAAATCATCGAGGGCTATGTTGCGTACGGGATTACCCGGCCGCGCACACATATTTACGCATAAGATAAATCAAATTCTACCATTGAACTTTTGTGTTCTTAAATTTTACATTTCTGCTTTACTTAGATAGCTGTCAAGTAAATACGTTCGAAATCCAGATAATCTTTCTCTATATATACAATATATATATATACACTCTATTTTGACAACTAACCCATTGCCCTATCTTACTAATTCGATCACATTGCTCCAAAAGCTTTATTGTTCTGACAATTCAGTTGTTACCCTGATTCTGATGTTCCACTATTACGTTTTAGCTATTCTCTGATTCTGTAGCAGACGTCGCGCGTCATTGCATCAACTATTCCTTGTTTCTATTACAACTAAATTTTAGCGGCGTTGATCCGTTTGTGGTGTTCCTGCTACCTCAAGGTTCTCACCTTAAGGCTAGCTTGGTGAGAGTTCCAAAATGCAAGTAAATATTAGAGCGCTTGAGACCAAGCACGCAAGCAGTGTGAAAATACCGGTACTCCTTCGAAATGTTTAGTCGGAAAAAAAATTAGGTTTAACCCCATAGTGAAATATGATAGTTTTTAATGGAAAATTAATTTTAAGCCTGGTATAGAGAGCTCGAAGATCAAAGCAACCTGTACATGCAGATGTTTAGTATGTCTAACTCTAGTTTAAAAAACAGCCGACAGATAAAGATCTTTAAAATATATCAAGGCTAAAAAAGTATTTTAGAAGACATCTTTACAAAGTTTTAAACCGAGAGCTACCGTTACGTATCGCATGAGCGAACATCCGATTCTACCAAAAATCATATCTGCTTTTCAAAGTTTTAGGTAAAGCCTGACATCCTTTAGGATGTATTTTGAGAATTGTTCCAATTTTCGCTGTTATTTTCTTAGGACTATAAGAACCTATGTATGTGTATTTGGACCACAAAGAAGAGGAAATTGTATTCGAACAGAACCCTTTTTAGTTCCCCGTTTGATTACGGGGTAATTTTCTTAACACCCTGTACGTCAATCATCCGTAATAGGACCGGAATGTTATGATCGAGCGTATTAGCTGTGCAGTTTGTGCGCTACTTCTAAATATGGGACCGATCGAATGTGATCACTATCCGACTGTTATTAATTCAATGCGGCCGTGAATCTTCGGATTGGGGGCACCTCACCAACACAGATATTGAAGAATATTCATAACGGACGCTCAGACCACAAAGAAATCTGTATAAGTAATCTTATATCGGACCATATAGCTACGAGGCGGAAAAATTTATGCTCATCAATGAAGACACAATCCGCCAAGCTGGTACAAGTGAAATTCGTTAGATTAGGTAAATCTTTAAATTTCAAGCAGATTTTTAGCCATTTAATACGTTTGCGTAACCTTCGACCATCGTTGCCTCGTGCGGTCACCGCAGAGCTGTCACTACGGCCGTATAGGACAACTCTTCTCGTGATTAAACAAAAAGCAACATTATATGGTCCACTAAGTGTATCTATATTGTAAGTTTTTTAAAAATATCTTTGATACTACCATTATTTGTATATAGTAACAAATAACTAAGATCGTGTTTACTAAATTGGTGATCTAATTTCAAAATTTCTATTAAA